GGCACACATATATGAGTTTTGTTCATTTTTGGCGGGGGCGGGATCGGGTTTTTGATCTTTAGCATATGGCTAATGGTTCGGCCTTATGAACTGCAGTGCCTCAGTTTTATGCGCTCTGTTGTTGCCGTTAATGAATCGAAAGTGGCCTGAGAAATGGTTCAAGGCTGGATTGGGTCACTCGGTTAATGGTTAATGGGCGAATATGGGTGAGATTTAAAGGCATTTAGTGTGTAAAGAGATTTTTAAAAAATTATAGAATGGAAAACTTGAGTTTCAACTAGTTGAAGTAAATAAAATAATACATTAAATAAAATTATATAGACAACTGCCAGCAATCAAAAATGCAATAGATTTTCCAGTCCTTCCAAAACTATTGCATGCCTACAATCTCCGATCTCCAATGGTAGCTCAACCCATGTTGATCACGACATTCTTTGCCTCGTTATTTCACCTATCTCTCTTGACTCCCTTTTGTTTTAAAATTTCACACCATTCTTTATTCATTTATTTCTATTTCAAATATTTCTTACTTTACTTTGCATATCAGGTAACAATAATTGGCAACGAAGCTGGAAACAAAAGAAAACTGCTCATGGGAAATATATTTTATAATCTCAATGGGCGGAGGGGAAATCTCATGGGAAGCTCGGAAAAGCTAAAAACCCCTTGAGCATCTGCAGTAACTGTAAACCGAGCGGTTTTGTCTTCTCTTCTAACTGCACTTCTTGCTTAGCTGGTTGTTGATTTAGATATTTCTTGCCTTTTTTGTGACCAAACCAGCTGGCATTAGAGATTGCCATTTGCATTAAGAACTACTGTATATAATGTAATAGAAGGGAAAATAAGAATAAAAACCAAATGAACTGTAGCTGTTTTAAATACCCTTTAAATTACTTTATTATGAAATTTATTTTGTTTGAGTAAATAAAAATAAAAAATATTTGGATCTCTTATAGAGGCCGACTAGTAACTACTCACTCATTACAGCAATACCTGCTGCAGCAGTCGGAATTAGCCAAGTTAATCAAATGTCATAGCTTTCAGCCATGTGAACTATTGGGGGTGGTAGCTCTCATAAAACTCACGCCCAACTTGAAAACATTATGCAAAGCAACCAAAGCCAAAGAAAACATTGCATAAGGGAAAAAACATTTTTGTGTGCGGTTTTTTTTTAGCTTTGTTTTATTTTGAGTAACTTTCATCGATTTTTTCAGTGCACACTTGTTGTTGCTTTCGTGGGGTTCGTCCAAGGTTCGTTGCTCTTTTGCTTTTGCATTTCCCTCCAAGTTACCTCCGTTTGTGGGTTGGTCAATGGTATATTTCATTTGATTTCATTCGATTGGATTGTCGGTTGTGTGTTTACTATTTTCTTTTCTTTCATTTGAACTTCACTCTTCGAGCCTCTTCTGCTTAATCACATATTTATGCTCATTATTGCATATTATTCCAGCTAAAAACGTTTTGCATCGAATTAACCGTACAATCGATATTTAATCACAAGTTTATGATTAGTTTATTATGAAATTGATGGGTTGGTCATGATGGGATATCTAATATGGATTGTTAGAAGTGAAATTTGTAAAGTGATTAAAGGTATTGCATAGTAAATGGTATTTAATGAATTTTTGAATAAAATCAATGGAAAAGATTGTAAAAACAAAAATAAAATATTTAAATAATTAGGCTTTGATAAAAGTGCCTTTTTTAGTTGTTTCTAAATTATGTGATTTTAGCGTTAGTCTTTTTATCACAAAATGATCATACAAATTCTTATTAATGCTCGCTTTACTCATGAGTATGAATCATATCTATATGGACCCCCAAAATAATATAGGCATTCATGTGTAAAACTTAAAATACAAAAAGTATTTTTCGCATTATTTCTTCGGCTACACTCATAGAAATTTTCCGGTAAAATCGCCCTAAAAACAGGGAAAATCGCCCTAAAAGGGGGGTCAATGGCGACTAGGCAACAAATCTAGGGCGAATCGCCATAAAAATAAAACCAAAAAAAAATCAATTATTTTTTCAATGATGGGGGGGGGTGTGGATATTTCCTGGGAACTGGACTCAGCACATACACACACACACACACGAACATCGTTTCAGATAATTTGTTTGTAAAATTGTCGCTATACCGGACGATGCTGTTGAGGGCAGGAGGCAGCAGACTTGTATAACCGCCGGTTATAACTGAAAAATCACCTTTGTAATCGAATTAAGGAGATTTATATAAGGAGAAAAAACAACTTACTTGAGAAAAACATTAGGTGTCACTAAGAGGGTTCGAACCCACGGCCTCTCGAGTTGGAGTCTAACGCTCTAGCGCTACACCACAGTCCCATCGCGGTATGCAACGTACAAACACTGTACACATCTTATTTTCTTGCGGTCTAAGTTATACAAACAAAAAATTGTATTTTTTTGCTGGTGACTGGGATACTTCGGGCCGTTTCCTCGCATGCTTAACATAAATTAGTCTTTAAACTCAGAATTTCCATATGTATTTAGGTTTTTAAGACTACTTTAAATTTAAAATGCGGACGAAAAAACTTAATTAGTAATAAAAACTGTAATAAAAAAAAATAAACAGTGTTGACTCACACAGGAATCGAACCCACGACCTGTATTTTCAAACAGCAAAGCTGAAAGTGCGAGTGCTTAGACCGCTGGGCTACCCATTCTTACTCACTTTTTGACCTGTCAACTACACACACATGTACATAACATGTTTTACATGTATGCATCCATTTATTGCGTCATAAAATTTCGCCCTAAAAAACAGAGCAAATCGGCCTTTTTGGAAAAAGTAGCCCTAAAAAATATTTTCCATGGCGATTTTTCGTATATTTAGGGCTAGCCACCCGTATAATAAGAAAATTTTTCGTACCTTTAGGGCGACCTCGGTTTTAGGGCGACTTTTCTAGTATTTAGGTAAAAATTTCTATGAGTGTATTTGGTTGTTTATCCTAAACACTACTTCTTTGACGGAATCTATTTATTTGTCACTGTAATTTTACCTTATCCCCAAAACAAAAGTTGACCTAATTTGGCTTTCTACAACTAACGGCCCTGACATATCAATCAATCAGACATCAACACTCGAGCAATTGTACTCACAGTATTTATAGGTTTTTGTACTCTACCTTCTCCATCTCCCTTTGAACACCCACCGTTTTTTTGTGACAATGCCCAAAAGAAACGAAAGCGTGAAACTCGGGAAAGAAACCCGAAAATGATGGCGAGGCAGAGCCACGACCAATTAAAAAAGAAATATAGGTAATTACTCACGCTTAGATCGAGGGACTTCTGTAAAAGTACTTAGGGTCTTAGTCATGCCTCAAAGTTTTGGGTAATTGAAGGGGAGGGAAAGTGGGGACTAATGCAAGTGACCAGGAAGGGAAGTAATGTCCACGGAAAAGCCTCGACCCATTTAGTTAATGACGTTTTAGGCTGATAATTTTCATTTTCCCGATGCCGGAAACGGAAAAAGGCACCTGTTGAAGGTCGTTCCTGAACAGCCTGACAAGTTTTGGTTAAGAAGGAAATGCCATTAACAATACCAAATACTTTGATGACCAAACAATTAGTTGTTTGTGCTGTACAAAAATTTAGAAGCATAATAACGTTTATTTTTACTTTTATTTGGGGAGTATTGACCTCTTGGAAAAGATTTCATTTAACTAAGTGCACTACACTCATAGAAATTTTCCGGTAAAATCGCCCTAAAAACAGGGAAAATCGCCCTAAAACGGGGGTCAATGGCGACTAGGCAACAAATCTAGGGCGAATCGCCATAAAAATAATACCAAAAAAAACACAAAAAAATCAATTAATTTTTCAATGATGGGGGGGTTTGTGTGTTGATATTTCCTGGGAACTGGACTCAACACATTCACACACACACACACAGACGCGAACATCGTTTCAGATAATTTGTTTGTTGAATTGTCACTATATTGGACGTTGCTGTTGTGGGCAGGAGGCAGCAGACTTGTATTAGCGCCGGTTATAACTGAAAAATCATCTTTGTAATCGAATTAAGGAGATATATATAAGGAGAAAAAACAACTTACTTGAGAAAAACATTAGGTGTCTCTACGAGGGTTCGAACCCACGGCCTCTCGAGTTGGAGTCTAACGCTCTACCGCTGCACCACAGTCCCATCGCGCTATGCAACGTACAAACCCTGTACACATCTTATTTTCTTGCGGTCTAAGTTATACAAACAAAAATTTGTATTTTTTTGCTGGTGACTGGGATATTTCGGGCCGTTTCCTCGCATGCTTAACATAAATTAGTCTTTAAACTCAGAATGTCCATATGTATTTAGGTTTTTAAGACTTCTTTAAATTTAACACGCGGACGAAAAAACTTAATTAGTAATAAAAACTGTAATAAAAAAAAAAAGTGTTGACTCACACAGGAATCGAACCCACGACCTGTATTTTCAAACAGCAAAGCTGAAAGTGCGAGTGCTTAGACCGCTGGGCTACCCATTCTTACTAACTTGTCTTGACCTGTCAACTACACACACGTACATAACATGTTTTACATGTATGTATCCATTTATTGCGTCATAAAATTTCGCCCTAAAAAACAGGGCAAATTGGCCTTTTTGGAAAAACTAACCCTAAAAAAAATTTTTCATGGCGATTTTTCGTATATTTAGGGCTAGCCACCCGTATAATAAGAAAATTTTTCGTAGCTTTAGGGCGACCGCGGTTTTAGGGCGACTTTTCTAGTATTTAGGTAAAAATTTCTATGAGTGTAGGTAGTTTAGGAGCAGCCAACTTTCTCGTTAAGTTTTCAATCAATAAGTAATGTATTGTTGGTCTCTTTTTGCGTTTTTGCTAAACTTTTTGCAATTGCATGTCGAAGTTGGTTTAGCACTTTGACCTATTGACCTGCATGTCATGACTGTAGTCAATTGAATATCTAAATCCATTTAGCAGACAATCACCAACTTAAACCTTTAAATTTCCTATTCTCTTTTTCAGTTGCAGTTATTTTTTCCCAAAAATGGCTCCTATGCCCCGAATCCAGTTACCTAATGGCAATGCTTCGATAAAGGCCAGTACAAATAATTTTCTCTTCGCGGAGACAATGTCAGGCGATAGTAGTCCCACCCCCAGCAGTCCGCCCTCTAGCACAGGTAAGGATTAAATGGTTTTAATTAAATAATAAATTAATTCTTAATACAACATTTTGTAATTTATAGCGGGAGTTGCCAAATCTCAGTGTTCATCGCTTTCGGATGGCGAATCCTTTGAGGGCTATGGCGAAAATGAGTATCCCACCCAACTTCGAGAAGGTCGCAGCACCAATTCCAATGGGAGCAACAACAACAGCAACCTTATTAACAACAATAATAATAATCTCAGCGTGGGCAATACCAGCTCTCAGCACAACCACAGTGGACACTCGAACGACGGAAATAACAATTTAAATGGCAGCACTGGTATCGAACTCGATTTGGCCCCGCACGTCGGTTCATCAACACCCCAAGAGTAGGTCCTAAAAGAATTTTACATAGCGTTTCTAAAGTCAATTGTACTAAAAAAACATATATTAAAATTTGTTCTATTAAGAGACCTCTAAAAAGTATTAATATCCTTTCTTTTTAAATAATATGTTACAATTTAAAAAAAAGGTTTAACCTTTTCTAAGCATTTTATTAAACTAGAAGAATTTTTAAATCGATTATTATTCATAAAAATTAAATTGCATTATCCATCAGATAAATAGGTATAGTTTTTGATATATACTAAAACATTATATACATTTAGATTTTTCAAAATAATTTTTCATGTACTTGCGCAATTTAAAACAAATCTTTTTATTTTGGATCTGTTTAGGAGGTTAAGTAATCCAAATTCGAATTAAATTATAATCAGTTAATGGTGATAATTTGAATTTAATCGCTAGCCATATCTGACACTGAAACGCCTTGTATATTTCAATTGTCTAAGCTACTGACTACTTTATTAACTCGATTTCATTGTTGCAGTGATGATGAACTAAACATAATGCCGCGGGACAATTGGGCCAGGCGCAGTCTGAGACGAACTCCCACCAGGTAATCTCGCTCATTTGATCGGGCCAACTCCCAAAATGGAAATCGAAGCGAATGCGAATTTCCTTAGTTGTCAGACATTTATAAGGTTGCACACATAATCGGGCTGAATACGTAATAGCCGTGAACATAAAATAATGCTGACCAGGCCCAGCGACTTCATCAATTCAAAACTCTCAATTTGTCTGTCCGTATAAAAAAAAGACAATATAAAAAAGCGTATTTGAATAGTTAACCTTTTCTTTATGTAAACCTGTGTTCGAGCGTATTTACGAGTATATGTGAGGGGCACAAAAAAATGCATACACAGATTGAAACCAGTTTTTTCTATGCTCCGTCTTGGGCACATGAAACGCTTTGGGCCGTGATTCATGCGTGTCTCTGTCTTCGGGTCTCGGAATCTCTCACATCACAGTGATCATGCCTCTCTTTCCAGTCGTGTTCACCCTTCTCTTTCTCACTATTTCCGCCTTTGTTCAACAACTTGCCAAAGCCGTGGTGAGTTTCCAATTCACCTGCCCGTAAGAGAGTCGTAGCATTCTCTTAAATTATACAGTGATGAGGGCTAATTTTTGTGTCTGGCATAATATAATGGCTCATAACATCTTTCTACAAAAAATAGTTCATAAATATATTCTTTGATTAGCAACTAGGGCTTTTATTAACTTAATAAATTATCAACAATTAAAGCTACAAAATACCCCAATTGATCAACATTTTTCTTACAGCAATCCTGATAGTTTATCCCAGCGTCGTTGGGGATCCATGAGACAGTAAGCCATCTCAAGTATAATTTGTTTTTGGGTTTTCATGTAGAGCTTCATAAGAACCATAACTCCCATTGTTGACCCATTTTGGTTTTGGTTTATTTGTACATAAAAATATTTTAACTAATTTATGAATAATCCTATTGGTGTCTTACACTTATAATAAAATATTTTTTAGATCCATCAGTTATATAATACTCTTTTTTGCCTAATTTTTAAAATTGTTGCAATTTGCCTTCTTTGTTAGTTACCAAATTTAATTTGAAGAAATATTTACCCTAACGCATTTGAAATTTTCTCAAACAACGAAATCATTTATCAGAGATCTTGTTTCCAAGTTTGTTAATTTCAGCTATAAGTTTCCTTACATTTTTCCCAATTTTCCATTAGTTGGCTTACTCAATTGCCTGTTTTTCGTCTGCCCAAATTAGTTATCAGTTTTTTCCCATCTACTTCGCCTTTTTCAATTGTTGTTCAACCCAATGTTCAATTGGGTAATTTTCAAGAGCTTTCATTCCGCCACCACCCCCAAAGACCGAAATTTATGATTATAGCCTGCGGGCTGTCATAAAAGTTACAACGAGTAAAAATTGCTCATTTCTCCGGGACTTAATTGCAACTGAGACCATAACAAAAGTCAAATAAATATATCAGATTAATAGCGAGAGATTTAAGTTAATACAATGAGAACTTTGCGATGGGATCTGCCAGTATTTATATAACTTCCTTTGGCAGTTCTGCTTGTCAACTGGAGACCGCCTTTTCCTGCTCTGCTGCCATCTTCTTGGGCCAAAAGTAGTTTGGCCGCTTTTGTGAACTCTTCTCGGGGACGAAGTGAAAAGGTTGAAGGTAGAAGATGTGAGTCTCCTCTTCTCTCCCCCCTTTTGGCCAACTCCTTCCCCCTTAACTTGGCTTACAAGTTTCGCTGACTGGCTGGGGTTGTTATGCCGTTGGAATTTATTTTTTCGCTCAAGCGATCAGAGGAAGTGAAGTGAGAGGGTCCAGAAACAGGTTTAACTTGCGGCAATTGTTTACTCTTCAGAATTTAGGCCGGCACTTTTGTCAAGTCGCGAATAAAAATTGACCCAAAATAAAACTCTGTCTGCTGATGTCTTATCGATTTTGGCATATTTTGGCCGATCCGTTATAAATTGTTTTTATAATTGTTTGCTTTAATATATCTTTGGTTCCTAAAATTGTTTACACATTTTGATAAAACTTATTTTCAGATTTTTTTCTTTATTTTTATAAATGACTTTCTTAGATTTTTCGATATCTTAATTTCCAAAGTCTAATTTGATAAATAACTTTGAAACAATGCGAGAAATCTGTAAAAGTAATTAGATTCCTCTGCATTTAAGGCGTGTGGAAATCAGTTAACCCCACGCAGGCTGTAAATTGCGGCTGCTCTGTCAACTTTCCGGACCTTGATGTTCCCATGGCTTTTCGTCTTTTCGAAGCTCCTACAACTCTGGTCGACTTGAGTTTGTCATGCAAATGCCTTTGTTTTTGCTCATCTGCTGGGAACATGTTTTACCCAGTGTCTGCACTTGGCATTCAATAAACCTGCGCTGGGAAATGGTGGGGGAAAATGCATTTAAAGAACCGAGAACAATTAAGTAAGGGAAAATTGTGGGAAGAGATTAAAGATTTGAATCTAAAAATGGAAAGGGAATAGTAGAAATTCAACCGTTTATTTCTTTTCAATAGTGGCTAAAGTCGTTTTCGTTTTTAAGCTTTTGTTCAATCTAGCACTCGATGAAAATAATGTTGTTCATGCCTCTGGGGTTATAGTTCAAATTTGATATAATAGCTAGCAACATTTTGTCCTCTTTGCGAGACAATCAAAATTCTTAAACCAAATCAACAAAAATTCAGCTGTAAAATGTGGGAATATCGCCACGATATTGACTTTCAAACATCGGTAAAGATATCGCCGTACTGCTATACTTGGCAATCGGTTTGCTGGTTTATGCTCAAGGGCCTTGATTTGTGGAGATTCTTGGTATGGGATCGATCCCCGACTTACTTGGTGATTCTTACGATTGTCCTGATTGGACTCTCTTGGCTGGCAGTTAAGTCATTCAGACGGAGATGGAATGAAGTAAGTTAAAGGATAGAAAACTTGCATTAGATAAGGTTTCTAAATGGTTTTCTGATAGGTGCCCATGTCGGAGATCCAATCACTGAGAGATCGTGTTCAGTTTGTAAACCAGGATATGGTCATGTTGCAAGATGCCCTCAATGCGGCCATAGTGTCTCAGCCACAAAACACTAAATCTGATGAGGATATAAATGTTTTCGATGCCTTGTATGAAGCGGAGGCCAAAAACGATGGTGAAACTTCTTTAGAGTCTCCTGAATCGGCAGAGATCCCTGAACCAACTACTGTAGATCAGGAGGAAAATAGTCCAGAACCAGAGATTGCAGAACACCAGCCTCAAGAAGTTCCGCTGGTGAAAAATAGGGTGCGATTTGAGGAGAATTTGCCAGTGAATAAACCCCCAACCCCAAAGAAACCGATTATAAAACCAAAGCCGAAAAGGAGTATATCTCAAAATACACGTGATTTGAAAGATAAATTAGACGAGCCAAGTGGATTGGATCAAATAAATATTCGTAAACGTCCTATACCAATTTCGGGTCCAGAATGGAAGATCTAGAATGTTTTGTATGGTTGCGATAGTAAAGGCAATAATGTTACATCACGTTTAATAAAATGATTTGTAATAATTCGTAATTGGTGGTTCATATTTCAATATCTTAAATACCATAGAAATATTATTTTTGGAGTTTTCGTTAATATTTCCTAATTTGTTGTATTATACAGTCCTAGAGTCTAGCCTTGACATCTTGCCTTCAATTTTCAATTGCCTTTCGTTGTACTTTTCACCCGCTTCGTTGTCTGTCTGTTTTTTTCCGCACATAATTCCCAAGTCTATCCGTTGTCGGCCCTCAATTAGCCTTAAAGGTGGCCGGCTGCCTAATCGAGGCATTTTCCAAGCCACTTTGCGGGGGCCAAACTTTGTTGGCAGTTGGCTTGCATTTCTTGGCTAATTGGCAGACTCGGCGACAATTCCACTTTTTTTGCTTGCATGTATTTGAATGATTTGGCAGCCAAAAAAGCTCGAAAGTTCCGTTTGACGCCAATTTGGCTTCGCTTTTAGGTACTTGCCATAATACTTGAGAATGTTTATTTGGCCAGATTTGTTGATGCTGTGCAGTTTTAGTTTTTAGTTTCGCCGGCCAACATGTTGGCAGCAAACAAGTTGCGTGGGAGGCTGCAGAAGAGCTGCCAGATTATATAAAAGAAAACTCTACTGTTAATGAAAAATAGTTTAACATAATTTTAATGATAAAAAAATCTCAGCTGGTAAAAACAAATGGTGTTCAAAAAGTAAAACAATTGATCAGAATTATTCCATAAACCAGATAAGAATTAAACTTTTGTTAGTGTAAACTAGGAGCATTAAAAAATGTTGTCTTAAATTTGCTGTTGGCCAAAAAGTATGGATTTTATTTATTTGAAATTTTCAATAGCGGCTATGAAGTTTTCTTCCTTTTATAAAATAATGTCCAAGATTGTCCAACTCATAACTAACTTTATTTAACCAAAGAAACATTTTTGTATCTTTTCGATATTTCCAAAACATCTAATTTGTTATCCTAATTTAAGGTAACCCTATCTATATTTCCACCGAGAACCATTCTTACATGTTTAAGCTGAAGTTTTGCACAACTCAATTACTCACTGATATTATGCATGTATGTTTTTATAAATTCCTAGTTATTCACTTTACCATAGAAATCGATGGATTTTTGTATTGTTTGGAAAGTAATATTTGATCATTTTTTCCAAAATTAGTATGTAAGTTTGCCATTTATTATGCATTTCTTTTAACATTTACCTGTTAACTATTTCCATCTGTCTGGCAACCGTTTGAACTGCAAAAGAAAATGGTTTTGGCCCTCTCAGTTTCTCTCCCATACACCGCACACTTGTTCGCTCTTTTGGCCTGCTTTCCGTTTTGTTTATTATTTGGCTTGTTGGCTCTCCCGCGTCGAACCTGTTTGGATTGGCAGGCGGCTAAAAAGTGGGAATTTTAGTTCACTTTAGTCCGAAGTTCACTGTAGCCGCGTACGGATGTAATTTCTGTCGTCGTTTTGGACCGATTTGAATATTTATTTATCGCCCGAGAGTCTGTGACTAGTGTTCCGGTATAAAACCAAATAGATAAATAAAAAAATCGTACAAAATTCCGCCGCCTCCATTGAGAAAACAAAAGTATGTGAAAGTGTCTGTGTGCGGCCTTTGTTTCTATATATTTTTTCGGGGGCCCCAGACAACGCGTCGTATGTGAAACATTTGTGCAAATAGATTTAATTGTGATTTTTTTTCGGTATTGTTTTTGGCCATACATTTCGCTTTCCACGGAATAGAAAACGTTTTTAATTTGAGCTGCGCGGCTTTATGAGATTTTGTACATAGTTTTGTGCTGTAGTTTACACTTTGGTAATTTACGGCGTCACGCCTTAATGACGTTCAACTACCATCATAATAGCCGCAATAACAAGCGCAGTCTTTGGCTATATACTGCACATTCCCATGCAAAATCGGGGGGTCTTCGCCGTCTTCTTCTTCTCGTGCGTTATCCTCTGCTCCCATCTTCTTCGACATGTGTGTCTCGTCTTTTGCACGTGACTTTTCCCTGGGTTTCCAAAGGGGCCCACGCCCTTTTGTGTTGCACTTTTCCCATGCATTCATCCAAATTAAAGCCCCATTTATAGGCAGCCAGGTAAAAATAGGTGGATTGGAAAGTATCAAAAACATTGTAGGTACTAGAATTTTTCAAATGGGTTTATAAACCCCTATTGGTTTGATTTCAATAAATACAAATTTAGTAATGTCTTTGACAATTCAAATTTTTATAAGCAAAACTTTTTCTAATTAAAAATTATTGTATTATAATTTTATTAAAATTAAAAATGACTAACTAGTCAAGAAGACGTTTGTCCTACTTTTTCATCTACCTAGAATATTTATTTATCATAACCAATAACTGCTTGAATACAGAATTAACTCTGGGTTGTAAATCAAAAGTTTCAAGAACCATATCGGATGAAAAATATTTTGATCTTTGCTCTTCAACTTTCATACCTTTCTCAATATGTAAGTAGGTACTTTTCCAATAATTTCTCTTCATATTGCACCTTTATTTCAACACCTTTGAAAGGCAGTAACGACATGGCCAATTATCTGAAGCTTTTGATTGCGTTAGGAGTCGAAAGAGTAATCGACTTTTCAAAGCGGTCCTAAAGTGCACTCGCAATGGGTGCGATCCATTGCCACATTTCACCGCATCTCCAGCTCGGCCATATCGCCCTTTCCTGCTCGCATTGTTGAGAGCCATCAATCAAAATCGAATCTGATTTATATAGCCTTAATTACCCGGAGAGCAGCCGTATAAATGCTGCCCCTATGGGGCTCCGCAATTTCATTGCTAGTTGGCCAGTGCAGTCGAGAGTGCAGTTTTCCAGCGATTTTCTTTTCGATTTTTGAGTTTGATTTCGATTTCGCTGGCGGAGAGCGTTTAACGACGTTATCAGAGCGATTTCCAACGGCGTGTTGGCAAAATATTAACCATCCGCTCATCGGCTGCAGCAATTGCGGTTTGGTTTGCTTTGGCTTGGCTTGGATGTTCGGCTTGAGGAGATTCGTAATGAAAAGTGAAGTGTGGCCGGCGGACCCGTCAATTGCGAAAGTGTGTCTAATTTGCCGATGATGAGTGCGAGTGCGTTTTCTCGAACGAAATTTCCTTTTCTTCTGTGGCAAAAACGAGCCACCAATTTGCCGAGCGGCTCATAAACCAAACAAAAAGTGAAGTTAATGGAGGTGTAAAAATTGCCTGCAGTAGTGTAAAAAGCCTTATATCCAGGAAGGTCTTAAAAAAACATGATAACCAAACATTATTGTTTTGATAAAAATATATACAAATGCCAATAAAACTATAAATAGTTTTTAAATCCCACAAATTGTGAAAATTTCTTTTTAATTATCAGAAATAAAACATAATTGCTTATGTGCTAATTTCGAGCGTAAATATATGAAAGAAAAATGTATGGACATTTTCAGCCAAAAAATCAATTGTTAAATGCCATTAAGACCATAAATATGCTGAAAAATCGACCAACATTTTTCTGTTTCATTTAATAAATTTAAACTGCTTTAAATAAACCGTCTATAAAGTCTCTTAAAATTCAAATGATTTTAATTGCCTTTTAAAGAGCCATCAGTAATGCTTTAGTACACAAAGAATTATTGTTCAACTCTTTCAAGCTTGTAATCTTATCGGAAAGATAATGAAATAGTCCTTATCGGTTAAAATCAACAAATTAAAGTCAATGACGTCTAGAATGCGGCCAATGACAATTATAACTGATAACCAAATGAGCTAACCCAACGATAAAATATAAACTGCTTACGACCAAGCAATTGTATAAAAGGAAACAGATCTCACCCAAATGGATGATGAATATTTTGAGTTTTTCCCCTATGACCGTCGTCGCAGTCATTTGAGAGACAAGTGCGTATTGAATCCTCACTAAAAATTCTTCACAATCTAGTTGTTGTTGTTTTTGCACTTAGTTTTATTCATGTTGTTTGTTATGTCCATATTTAATTCTCAAGAAAGCTCACAAGACACGCCCATTTCAGGTTAGTTGGAAAAGGTAACGCCCACATGTCCATAAATACTTTCACTTGTCCGGCAACAAAAGACGCACATTTCTTCTTTATATTTTCTGTGACTCAAGGCATTGTTTCTTTGGAAATCGCAACAATCGCGACATTTCTTGACCCCTTGAAATTTTGTTACCATTTCTGAAGAAACCAACTGAAGCACAACAAAATGTTTGTTTGGGGTAAAAGTTTGCTTGAGAGTGGAAAATACTTTTGGTGACAGCTTTTGTGTCTGCAAATTAATGAATATTTTTAGGTAACATTTTTCGCAAGTAACTTAATGTAGTAATTTTTAAAATGTATTTACTTAAACGCTTCGTAGAAGACATTTTTTACTTAAATATTTCTTGTTATAACCATATAATAATAATTAAATTTTCCTTTAAAGTTTTTTTTTTGGAGAAAATATCAAGAATAATTATTTAAATAATTTTTAACTATCTCCTATCGTAATCTTTTTATATTTGCCGCCTTTCTCCGGCTTTGAGGTATTTTAATGAATACTTTGGCGCTATGTTTCCATAATTAAATTATCCAAAAAAATCTAAAAAGAAACGAGATACTCTCGTAACCAGACGAAAACCAGACTAAGGCTCTCAAAAAATAGTTGTTTTTAATAGTTTCAATTAGCTGAACTTCCCAGGCGCTTAATGAGCGGTTTTCAAACCATGGCAACTGAAGAAGGGGAAGGCAGCAGGGGGCGTGGCCAGGTGAGTGTGCAAGGTGTGCTTCACCCTTTGGCAACACCGCTGAAATAGTAACAGTAAGCCCAAAACCACTGTGCATTGAGGCGTTTCGCTGCGAACAACAATTTCTGCAATAGAAAACTTGATTTGGGCAGCCGAAAAAAAGCTTCCGCCAGTTTATGTGGGTCAATCTCACCTGACGGGGACAGGTGTTTGTCTAGCTCATTTTTACCCTGTTTTTGTTTGCTTTTCCCCTCCTTTTTTTTTTGCATAATCCGATCGTGATTGATTGACGCGCTTTGAGGATTGGCGCGCAAAATATGAGACATAAATTGCACTAAGGAAAGGAAAGACAGGGAAAACAAAGAGAATCGCTGAAAATAAAAGAAACTCGAGGAGATAATGGCAATAAAAAGAAACTCATTGTTGGTTTCTGTTTTTGTTTTGAATTTTAAGCAGTAAAGTTCAAGAAACTTTTGCCACCTTTACTTAGATGATTATTTAATTTCGGAAGACGAGGTCTGAAGAGCAGGTCTGACAATCATAAAAGTTTGACTTTTACTATAATTTTAGCTGAGCCTCATAACAAGTACGGCAAACTGGTTGCTATTTCTGTGTAAAGATTTAAACTCGTTATGAGACGGGACCCTTTGTCAGGTGACTTTGGTTGAAGACAAGAAGGGGAACTTCCCCTGCATTTAATTAACAGTTTCTTGCTAAAAGGTGCAAGTGACGTACAGAAACGTTAAATGTCTTAAACTGATGCGTTTTTGTCATCTCTGTGCGAGACGATCACCCATTATATCGATATATTTATTTGTAAGTCCCATACAAACAAAAGAAGTACATTACGGGAGGGATTTTCATAACAGAAGTTGTATACAATGAGATAAAATATAAATAAACTACAAAACATTAAAAAACAAGACATTTTCTTTGATATTTCTAAACTTAAGGTGCTCCGAAAAGTATTAAACAAAATTAAATTAAAAATAAACTTATATCTTAACTTAATTCAGTTAATCTAAATTTTTAGTTGATATAGTGTAAGACTTTTCTTATAAGCTTGCCTTGTTCCCATTACTTTTAATTTTTTCTGATTATACCATTTTTGTAGGCCATAAAATACCTATGGAAAATTACATAAAAATGTATATATTTGGTTATGACTGCAACTCATTCTAAATAACAATTAAAATACCTTTGAAAGCTCCCTCTCTGTTTTTTCGTGCCTCTCGCATTCCCACCCTTTTCAGGTGACCCCTCGCAAAGGTTAACGAAGCGGAACGCATTGCGAGAGGGAATAGAATAAATGAGGGGCGGTGGGAGGTAGGGAAATGAGCTTGCAATGAGTGGTTAAAAGTTAAAACAGAGGGGTAGACTTTGTTATTCAACAGGTGTTTTGGTATAAGGCCTGGACAGTTTTTCTGTCTTTACCTTAATTTCTTCAAATTTATTTTTATCTGCTGATATATATTACCTTTGAAATTGTGTGAGGAATTTTAAAATCCCCCAAAAAGTTGATGTTCAGGTAAAAAGTCTGTACAAAAAAGAAAAGAAAACCGCTATATGATTTCCGGTCAAAGTCTCAAATTTCATTGAAATTTTCAAGCACTCCCTCTCTGAAATTCAAGGTTACCCAAATGCTGAAAACTGATTCAGTAATTCAGACTCCACTCCCCTTTCCACCACTCCTCGAAATGCTGCCAACGACCTTAATCATATTTAAACAGTTTTTTTTGTTGGTTGCTATAGAGATTACATACCATTACCTTGATCGTTTTTTGTCTACAATTAACTGTCATTTTTTGATTCGGTATTTTCTTTTACTGTTTTTTTATGTGGATTTAATGTTGAGTTAAATGTGAGCAAACAACAAAAAAAATTAACCAAAAAAGTAGCTTCAAGTAATTTGGTTATATAATCTATTTTCCATTATAAATTGTTTTATTATTTTAGTTTGGTTTGATTACCTTTAATAATATAATAGTAATAAAATTCTACCACTTGTATAGCAATTGAAAATAAAAATCTAAATAACAGAAATTAAAAACCATTCGTCTTACAAATATATTTATTCAACTCCATTTTATGCTATATCGCTGATAAAAGTGATTCAGTCTGCACTTATTTATTATGCCGTATGTAGACAGCTGCCCCTAGTAAAATACAACTTTTGAGTACTGAAAAAACTGGCTTTTGTAGTCAGTCGAATTCAAAGTTGCAACTTTTTGGCTGCCATTTAATGTCAACTTCACTTTGCATCAATAAAATGCCAGCCGGACCACTGACTCATAAAAAGCAGCTATCCAACTAACCGCAAATGATTTTTTTTTGCATTTTTTCCTCTTCTTTTTGGCTGCAAAAATTGCGCAACATTTTGCAGCAGGTCCCCTCAACACTTTTTGGCTTTGGTCAATTTGCAATAATTTGCTGGCTTGTTTTTAGATTTTTTTTTTTGCATTTTTACGAGCACGCAACTTCAATTTGTATGATGTTTTTACATAAAGTAAATTAAAACATAAAATAAAGTTGCCTTCGCATAGTGCCATAAAACCAGATGAGATAGATTTCCATGAATGTTTTGTGTTTTTAGCTCAACTACTCTCAAAAGTGGGCTAATGAGTTCAGTTGAGGCCGAAGTGAGACAGAAAGACGGGCGGAAAAAAGTGGAATAGCTAACGTTTTGTTTGCAAACTTTTCTGGCTTTGCAAGTTTTACTTGATTTCTTATTTTCAATTTTCCAAAACAAAAACTATTTGCGGTTTTCATATCTACGCTTTTATGGCCCCACAAAAAGCAAAACATTTTCCATGAATTTGCCATGTGTGATCACCTCGGATAGAAACCGCAAAATGCTTTAAGGCAATAATAAAAAACAAAACACTCATAAATGCAGGTGATGTTATAGTTTCTAAATCGTTTTGTAGTGATGAGATTGTGGCAGTTCTTTTAGGTTCGGGCTCAAAAAAATTTTTTACAAAAATATATTATAAATTGACCATTGCAATTCCTCTTTTTTTTGTTAAATATTAAATTTTTTACAAATACCTTTCCCCAAGAATTATAAAAATAAAGACACTTTTCCGGCAGTTTGTTTTTATCTCCCATTTCCTTTCTCCTTCACTCGGCTTTCAGCATTCGTAGTTGCAAAATGTCTTCCACCTTTGACCCATTTTCCCGATATGCACTTTACACAAACACACATTTTCCCCCACTTTTCCACTTTTACTCGAAATTCAGTCGTCTGCGCCTTTGTCTCTATTTGAGTCTCTTTATCTGTCTACATCTACATCTTTCGCAATTATTTTGTCTTTGACGTTTCTTTGCTGCTACAATTTCTTGGCTGCATTTTGGCTTTTACCTGCTCGCGTGGGTGGCACATTTTTGTTGTACTTCGGCTGCCACTTTTGGTGGTGTTGTTTTTTTCTTTCATTATCACGTGTTTGGTTTCCTTTTATTTTTGTTTGGCTGCCTGCGTCAAGTTGTTTTACAAGTTGCCTTAGTTGGTAATTCCCTGTTTTTGTTGGCCATTCAATGCCAGCTAATTTATTTGCATTTCGAATTGCTAGAATTTCTTCAATTTTGAAGGGCTTCTATAGGTTGTGGTTGGCTTAGGCGTAGGGTTAAATTAGCATTTATCCATTCTTAGCGGTTTGGTGGTTTGTTGGTTAAGTGTGAAAAGTCTTTGCATTATATATAACTTACTAATATACTCTTTATTTGTACTTTTCAGTTCCGGTCGCAGGCAGATTAGTTCTAATGCCTTAGCCAGGTGAGTTAAAAACATATAACTACAATTTGGGGTTTATATAAAGAAGTTGACAAATTTTTTGCTGGCAAAAAACTAAGTTTTTTAAAGCCTTGTAATTGGCGCTTTAAAAGTCGATCCTCATTTACAAAAGAGAGTCTTTTGTTACATTTTGTATCTTTTAATAATGTTAATGCCGCAAAATCTGGTAATTTGCTCCATAGTACTTATTTATTGTTATTGCGGAAAAGTATGCAACATTTAACGAATTCTCTTTAAGCAGCCGTAAAGTAGGCCACATATTACATTCGCGTAGCAGCGTTTGAATTAGAGTGACCAGGCTTGCCCAAGATCAGCCTAAAAGTATACTTTTTTTTGTAGAAAACGTCCCCCACTTTTAACATTCTCAAAAATGTTAACTTAACAGTCATGTTAACAGCGTTTGAATTCGCCACAGATAGTGGGTACACAAACCATACCTTGCCGTGCATTCTGTAGGTGGCGCCCGCAAAGTAAAGTTAAGTAAAACTACAAACTCTTTTTACATAACGAATAAATTCAAAAATGTGGCGCGAACTCATAAGTTTTGAAAAATAAATTGCACGTGGAAAAAATCGTCTTAAATTAAAATATCAATTAATGAAAAATATGAAAAAAATAGTCAAAACAAAGGGCATAGGTTGGGGTCAAAAGGGAAAATCATTTCTTAAACAACTGTTCATTTTAGTTAATTTAAATATTTTTAATTACCCTTTTTAGCCAACTCTATAGATCATCGAGCTTCAACTCATCGGGCCGTAGCTCTAACTGTGATACAACCGAAGACATGTACAGCGACATAAGTTTGGAGAATCGACATGACTACGATTATAGGGTAAGTAATCTATTAAATACAGAGGAGGCTGCTTAAAAATGGCTTTGCCCTGATATCTAGATTTCGTTAAGACATCAACCCACATTAGTTTCTGCGACTTATTACACATTTGTCTTGCACAATTTGATTTCAAAGTTTTACCATTAAAGGACACAAAATAGAGGAATAAATAAATAAATCTACCGTTGCATGATATGCCGAAAAAAATGTCAATGTCTGATATTTCATCAAAGAAATTGCCGATGAAGGGGAATAATCCGCACTTGAACCGAATTCGCAATTGCAAAATGAATGTACCAACTTTCATGTGTGTGAGCTTGAAAAACATTTTCATTGAGACGAAATTCCGAAAATGTTTCGTATGTTTGTTGGGAAAAAAATTCCCTGGAAAAGTGAATTTGTGACTTTTCACTTTGGATCTTCGGCCAAAATGAATTAAAACGTGTTTTCTCTCCCTCAATCGCTGTGGCAGTCACCTTCGCTGGTATTTCGCTGGGAGTTCGTGGCTACTTGGCAGGTGAAATTCAGTGCTTTGCTTTTTGTGTGGGTTGCTCTTGTCTCTTGTCTATCGCGATCTCTGCGGATCGTATCAAATCCGATTGTGCCCAGCCGACTATTATAGTATATTATATAAAGCGAAAAAAGCAAAAGCATTTCAGCGGGATCTCCGCAATTGGCCATGGCCAATGGGGGAGTACATTGGCGCCTCAAGGTCATTGAAATTCACTTAGCCTCCCTTGAATTACCGCCAATTACAATCCCCACTGGCCAAGTAAGAGCTTTTTTGATTGAGTGCCAAAGAGGTCGGAAAATCATCGAGGCCTTTGGGGCATATTTTCGCTTTTCCTTGTGGGAAACATCTGTAATATATGAGGAAGAGTCCAAAACGTTTGTGGTTGCGGTCGTATTTTTAAATGAGTATGATTTATGGTTTTATTCACTTTGCAAAACTATTTTCTACCAAAAAAATAGTACGTCTTTTAACACCTAATAACTTTAAAACTTATGTCTTGAATCACCTTTTTTCCAATCATTAAAAATCAAAGACAAAGGCTTTCCTTCCTGCCATTTTGCACTTTAAGATTTCCTAAAAGAAAGCAAAGAAAATAAAAATCAAGCGATAGGAATACACACATGTAATGTTGATCGGGGCAGGTGTAAAATTGCTTTCTGCATAATTGCTTAAAATAAACATTTAAAAGGAGTATGAACCTGGTAAAAGTCGCCAGCGACGACCATAAAAGGAAAGGTGGAAAAGCACACAGGAAAAAACAAAGCAGAAAAAAGAAACAGAAGTGAAAATGATTTTTGCGAAAAATCTCACGTACGAATCAATTTTTAAACGCCCCTGTGCGATTGTTCTTTTATGCAACAGGCCAGCGGGAAACGGAAGTGCAATTTGTGGGCGAAGGGGAGGGGATTTTGGCCAGGTGACGAACAGGTGGAGTTGGGCCAAAAGATCATTACAAGGCAAAGAAGTGCCTCGCATTTGGTTTGATTGTTGTGTGTAACTTGGCGCTGAATACGAAATGAGTTGTGAGTAGAAAAACAGAAGTTAAACTAACGAAGATAATGTTTTATTCGATAACTGTTTTCTTACTTGAAAATATAGTAAGGTATAATGCGCTAGCACTCGAAATGTTATGTTAGTAATACATTTTAATGTTAATGTAAAATGGATGAATGGAAGTCAATAATTATTGATTTTTATAACAATTATATTTCAAATTACATTTCCCTATAATTTTAAATATGAATTTTTAGTTTTAAAAAAAGAAAACGAAGTCAACACGGTTTTGCCTTTATAGCTGCTCTTGACTTAAAATTTAATCCAACCCCTGTTTGAAAGTGGACGGAGAAAAGCCAAGAAACTTTCCACATCTCACCTTGGCCCGATGCCCAGGAAAGTGCTAAGCGTATCCAAAAAGATTTTCACTGCACCAAATACGATTTTCTATTTAATTCTTCTTTCACTTCTGTTGGCCCAAATTTCCGAACCCCGTCCCGAATTTTTTCAATGCTTCGTTGGCTTAATTAAGTTGAGGTCACTCTTCTGACAATCTAATGCGGAAGAAACGAATCGCACTGGATTGAACCGAAAAATATTACATAAGGCTTTGGGATGCGGAGATCTTGACATCGTATTCCCAGTTTTCCCAGCGCTGTCAGAGGTTGATTAAAATCTGCACTCGTCTTAGACTCTTTCCAGCTGTTTTGCATCGTCGCACTTATGCAATTATAACTGTAGGCAGGCCCAAGAAGACAATGCCACAATTGCAATTTGTTCAATTGTCAGAGTTTGCAAGAGATGTGGGGAAGAAATCTTTTTTTTTTTGGTTTGGTTTTTTGGGTTAATACATGCACAAGTGGAGTATCTGCGGTGACGACATCACTTCAAGTTGCCCAAGCAAAATGTTTAGGATTTGGTAATCTCTCGAATTGAATATCTCCCCGACTTTGTCTGCTCCATTATATCTCCATACTATATATGGGCAATTCCAAAATGTCGCTCGGGACATTTGCACACCTTTAAAGTTGAAAAAAAATTGTAAAACAATGGATTTTAATTTGAATTATGGGCTTTTCTTTTTACTCTTCCCAAGCTCTATTTTTGGTAAAAATCTTAATTTTGTACCACTTTTAGTTTTTAAGATATCGGTAAAAAACTGCCGTATTCGCTCGGGACAAAAATAGAAGTGGATTTCGGGGAAGTTCATACAACACCAGAAATTAGCAAATTCTGATGGAATATTTGAATGCGATTTTTTTTTAGAATGTTGTTCAAACATGTCGCTGTGAAATGCTTTTGGTTTTACTCAAAAATTCTTTGCCGTTTTTTTTTTATGCAGTTTCAACCACATTCGCTCGGGACATGTCGCTCGGGACATTTTTTCCGACTGTTTTGTAAAGCGGATTTCTTTACCTCTATCTCTCAATTGCTGGATGTTTTGCTTTTAACTTAATAGTTTAGCATGTGAATGAAGCATTCAGTACAGAAAAATGTCACATATTAGCATTCCTATAGGATAAATTTACAACAGAAGACAGGTCCAAAAAATAACAAAAAAATAGCCAAAAACTGATTTTTGCGTATATTGGTGGGGTTTGTCATAAAAATAATCAAACTATACACCAAATTTGTAGTTAAGCTCAGTATCCAACTAATTAGAAACTAATATCGGGGCAAAATCATGTGGAAATATGTTTTATTCAAGTTTCAAGGTTTTTGGCTTGGTGGACTTTTTTTTGGAAGTGCCCATATATATCTCCCCGCCGCATTGGTGAAGGCGTTGACTAGAAACAGCCACCTACAAGACAGCGCATAAACAAAAAACTACCACCAGGTGTCTGGCTAATAGAATGCATAAATATAATAAATGGAATACAAATGAGACCAAAGACAGCAGGAAGGAAAAAATAAGGGCAAAATGTTGGGGAAACGAAATCATCATTTGTTTTTATTGAACAGCAGCTTATTTATTACAATTATTTGGTGCTATAAGAAATTAGTAGTAGATTGATTAGGAAAGACCGCAGAAATAAGAAATAATAAATATTTGAAAACTCACAAACTGCAGGCCATAAAATATAATTCAACTATGAGTAAATCACCCAGTTTCCCTGTCATTTCGACCAATTAACCTCCCCCTAATGGACTTGCAACAGCTGTCCTATCACAACAATTTCGACCCATTTGGGCTAAACGTTTTCATAAACGTCTTTGAGTATTTAATTCCGTTTTTACTTCGGTCTACTTTAAGGCGCATTTGCATTAATTATGATAATTGCAACGTTTATGCTTCAATTCGTTTGGTGTGTGGGTCCCTTTGTCTTTGGGACTTTGATGGTTTCTGGGTCAACGTCACATTTGGGTTAAAAATTGATTTTCGTTTATGGTTTATACTCGCGTTTTTCGTATTATTTTTGTATTTTCCCTCCATATCTCATTCGGCTCGGCTTTATGCTTTTTATGTTGTGCCGGGCCTCGACTTGAGGCGGCGGCAGGTCTTAAAGGTGGGCGTCAAAGGTGCCAGCAAAATTGTTTAATCGATAAGACGTCCCTAGCAGGTGGCGAACGGAATGGCACGAACTGCTAGACAAAAGCCCATTTTCAGTGGGTGCAGAGACCGTTTTTCTTGCCGGTTTTCAGTTGATGGATCGATCGATGATGGCACGGAATTAGTAAAACGGTCTTTTGGCTTGCGATAAATATTTATCAGCTATTTTTACCGGTAAAATATTATTCTTTGTCTGGGATTTTTATATCCATCGGAGGGCTTTGTTAAAAAGAATACAATTATTCTTAACTATTTGTATTTTTTTTTAATTTTTTCTTCGTACTAACTGCTGTTCTTCCTTTCCATCATTTTCCCCTCTACTTCCTCCTAAAAATGCCACATTGCTTGACATTAAAGTTGTTCTAATGTTGACTTTACATTCACCTCATTTCCATATCCATTATCTTAGTTTTTGCTATTCCAAATCTAATAATAATTCGTTCTTTATTTTCCTCTACTTCCAGGTAAGCACAACAATAGTCAAAAACACAAAACTACCTCGAGCACTCTTATCTTACCAATTCCACAACGTAAGTGTTAAAACGAACCCACAAAAGTGTTTCTTGTCTGCCTTTTATCTAAGCTGAAAAATCGCCCGAAGAATTGGCCATAATGTGAATTTATGTTCCCACACACACTCGCAAAAGAGGCGCCTATTTCTGGGGGCGTGGCAGTGGGAGCAGTAGAAATCCTACGCTTTCCATTACGTCATACTCGCTTTTCGTATATTATTTTTTGCACAAGGTTGTCCAAGGCAAACGGGGCGTTACATTAATGGGTAACTAGTCAAAACGAATCGAATCGGGTTCGAGTTCGAGTTCAGTTGAGGCTGCACTTGTCTTGGCCAACTATGGGTTTTATCTTTTCTTGTCTTCGCTATTTGGCCGCGCAACAATTTATTATAAATAATGAGACAGTGGAGAGTTGAGTTAACAATTACGGCCTACGTGTGAATTACCTTTTTTTTGCCAGTACTTCTTTCATTAAATCATCTTGAACTTTTGGCATTTTGTGATGGGATAAACTGAGGGTTTATTGAAGTAGTTCGAGCTTATTTTTTACATTGATTTTAAAGTAAGAAAATGGGTCGAAAGGGGAAGGATTATAATTAGGAAGTCGTTAAAAGCTCTATTAAATATTCTTTAAATATAGAACGCAGAATTGAGCTTTCCTATATATTTTACAGATAAATATATCTGGCTTACTTTACTTAACTTTTTGTTTACAACTTCCTTGGTTACTAGCCAATCTTATCGTACACCAACCTTTCTTAGTTCCCCTCTAGAAAAATTCTTATGTATATCTAGCCAAAAAGCCATTGTTGCCTTGGCAACTAACTAAACCCAGTACATATACACAAAATGAGCCAAACACAAACAAATCGGAATACAAGCGACTTCAAGGAGTGCTATACGTTCGTATTGAAAACAAACAAAAGAATAAATTCAAATTGCAATAGCGACTTCTTTAAATTTCAATCATTCTCACAGTACACACAAATATTGACTATATTTTTGCCTAATTATACAAACACACAGTCATCGGGTGGATATATAAAGTTGGTACACAGCTGGAAATGAAAAGTAAATAGTGCTGGCTTTAAACGTTTACCGATCTGCGGGTCTTGCGTTGATTAAAGAGTCGGTTAAACAAATTAGAAGAGTAAATAAAGATTGCAATATTACGTATACGTACGTGTGAAATGTAAAGATAGCACAATTTAAAGGTAGTGATCTAGGGGTTCTTAAAAAATGGTATTTAAGGTTTTTCAACTAAAATGTTTTTATGGCCCTATTTAAAATTAAAAAAAATCATTAATATTAAAAAAAAATGTAACACACAGGTTAGGGTTAATTTATCAAGTAGGCTCTTTTCCACTGATTCAAACTTGTTTATTAAATGTGAAAAGCAGGCTTTGAGATTGGATTTCATAGATTTTATAAAGGTGGCTTTGCCGTTTATTTCAACCAGCCTTTTTTGAGATTCCTAGACAGCTCAGCAAATTGGTCAGTTCAGTTCTAACTGTTCGGCTGTAAGGTTCTCTTTGAATTTTATTTTTTTTCCTATCAAACTGTCTCCGTCAACTTATCCGGTAAATATATTTTTGTTTTACTTGTTTTCGGACAAGGCGACATTCGATATTAACCCTAATAGATCTGGCTTTCCTACGTAAATTCTCGGCATTTGCGAAGATGTCGTTGCCGCGTGTTTATTTTGATATAGCCGCGGGAGATCAGAAGCTCGGACGGATTGTGATGGAGCTGCGATCGGATGTGGTGCCCAAAACGGCGGAGAATTTCCGAGCCCTGTGCACCGGCGAGAAGGGCTACGGTTACAAGGGCTCTCCATTCCACCGGGTGATCCCGAATTTCATGTGTCAGGGTGGCGATTTTACCAAGCAAAACGGAACCGGAGGCCGCTCCATCTACGGCAATAAGTTCCCCGATGAGAATTTCCAACTGAAGCACACGGGACCGGGTACTCTATCGATGGCCAATGCTGGGCCCAATACCAACGGATCGCAGTTCTTTATTTGCACCGAGGAAACCACCTGGTTGGATAATAAGCACGTTGTCTTTGGCAAGGTCGTCGAGGGAATGGATATCGTTCAGAAGGTGGAGTCCTATGGATCTCAAGATGGAAAGACCAGCAAGAAGATCATCATCGCAGACTGCGGTTCCCTGTAAAAAGGGAGCTAGTACAATTTTACACTCGTAATTTAATTAATCTTGATACACACTGGAATTATCTTGCGAAGTTCATGTTAATGTTTAAAATGAAAAGCAAAATATAAGGGAGCATTCAGAAAGAAAACAAAGTTTCCATTCTTTTGTTTACCTGCAATAGAATCGTTAGTCAATAGAGTTCCTATCATAACATTTACATTATTGACTCAGAAATATTCTTTCGGGGAAATAGCTCGTTTTACAGACCAATTCGTTGAATCATCTGGAGCACCCTGACTGGTACAGCTCCCTGACTCATTTTCCTTTGATTTTCTTTTCCATTACTTTTAATTGACTCAATTAAGTTCAAGTGATGCTCTCGCATACATACATATGTCGCTTTTGATTCCTTCCACTCAATTCTTTGGCTGTCTCCCATTACCTTTCCCTCAAGCCTTTCTATCCACTTTACCCAAATGCACTTTGCAAATGTCTATTAAGTCATACACACTGAAAACCGCTTTCTTATAGGGGAAGTAAAAAATGAACAAGCCATCTAAAATGTATATTTTAGAATCAATATCAATCATATGCCAGCATGCCAACTCGACCGCAAAATTATTTAAAATTTATTCGATCCCAATAAGTTTGTTGTCACTTTCGTCATTTATTTAAACGCAAAAATTGAAATTATTTACATGGCAAAGAGTTTTTATTTTAAACAAATATAACAAATTATGCAACAATTTTTATTGGCTTAAAAATAGTTTTTTATTTTTTATTTCCAGTATTTTCCAGTATTATTATATAGTACTAAAACTATTTTTTAAATGATGAAAATAAAAATCAACTACATTTTATATTTTGCGAGTGCATGCAATGCGAATTTCCAACACTACTAAGTCGCATTAGTGGCATTTTTCTATTGCGTTTGTTTTTCTTTTTCTTTGGGGCTCTGGTTTTTGTTTTTCTTTTCGTCTTTTTTGGGCACCCAAAACAAGTCGCGTTCACTGCCGAAGTCGACGCCGGCAGAAGCAGCGACGGCGGCAGAGGAGGGGCCGCGGCTTTGCGCTGACTTTTCAGCGCTTTCCTCTCTCAGATTGCATTTAACTCTTGCCGCGCTAACAACACTAAAAAAAGCGGAAAGGCGAAGAAAAAGCCGCCCTCTCTATCTCTCTCGCGCTCTCTCGCGCGGGTGTTTTGTTGTTGTGCAATGCAACTGCCAAGGAAAATGCTTAGGAAAATGCAGCTGCTGCTGCTGCTCTCCTGAAGCAAAAAAGCCAAAATAAAAGGTTTAAAATTGAAGAAAATTCATTCAAAATTACCTCAAATCGTGTGTGTTTTTTCGGTGTTTTTTTTTTGTTACCTCTTTATCGATCGAAATCGTTTATCAGCTGTGTCAGGTGCCTATGGCTTATTAAACGCTTATTTCACAAAAAAAAGAAATCAAGCCAAAACACGTTAATTTTATGGTCTGATGTGAAAAAACCCTAATAAAAATAAAAGCCCCCCTTTCCTCACATTTCCAATTTCCATACCCTCTGGCGAATATATTGGTTGATTGATCTTAAATTGAAAAGTGCGGTTGAATAAGTCTGTCAAGTGTTTTATCGAAAAATTAAAAAAAAAATGGAAATCAAGTGTGGCATAAAATTGATAAATGATGAAATTAATGATACAAAATGAAAGAATAAAAAATGCAGTTCAAAGAAACTGTGTGATATGGGGCATTATAAATTGATAAAGCCCTGACAGTAATTGATGAAAAAAAATAAAAGATGATAATATAACTAAAAAATATATACATATGTGCATAAACCGGACAACAGAAGAAATTCAGTGTGGGCTAAAGTAACCAATTAAGCGTGTAAATAAATACATTTTTTTGCGACGAAGCTTATTATGGATATTGGACAAGTTTAATATTTGTCCTATTCAATGATAATTCACGATGGGACATCAGTTAACTAGGGAAAAGAATATATATATTTTGTTATATGCAAAAGGCCTCTTAATCCGTGAAAAACAATTTCCAAAAAAGACTATTTAGCCATTTATTTCAAGAGTTTCTCCCATAAAAATGGAATTAAATATATCAACACAAGATGACCCTCCAATTCGAATCACCCATGGCATTTTCAAGTTCATTCAAAATAGCTCGAATCTTTTCTTTCTCTCTTGATTTCTTCTACTAGGCATTTTCCGTACCGTTAAGTTTGGTAAGAAAATATTCTTTCATTAGCGATGGTTCGTCAATTAGTAGGCATATAAAGCTAACGGCGCTGTGCCCGAGGCAGAAAAAAAGAAGAAGACAACTAACCGGAACTGAAAACTAACATTAAAACCAATAAGCAAAAGGCCTAAGGTAGCAACAATAACAAAAAGAAACGGAAAAGAACTTCTGATGACATCAACAAAAAAGGGGGTGTACGAAAGAGATGGGATGAGATGGATGTGGATGGGGAATACTACCATCAAATCCCAATCCCGCATGCGTCCCGTTACTTTTGCTTTTCGGTTCGTGTCCACGCTCATTCACTTGCGCTTTTGTTTAGTAATGAGTAAAAGATATAAAATGGGGGAGGGATTTTGGGAGCGGTTGGGTTGGGGGTGACCATATAAAAATTCCACATAATTATGCGCTGTCTCTGAGTCAAAGACCATATGTTCCAAAACAAAAAGAGACGGACTGAATCGACGGGAGAATCACCCTCGGACATATGGCGAAAAACTTTTCTTTCGGGGGGATCGCTCTCTTTTTCTTCAGCCCCTTGTCATTGCTCTGTTTGTTGATTATTATTTTTCCTATTTATAAAGATTGCCCGTTTTTGCTCTCTCAGTCGCTCATTTTTCTCTTCTTCTCTGATTGCCTCAGTTTATTTTGCCCCTGAATTTCTGGTTCATTCAGTTTGCTTTTCGCGTTTCGCGTGTTTTAATCGAATTTTGTTTGCCTCCCTCGATTGTGGTTGTAATCAACATATAACACACTATTTTAAATAATTCCAAAAATGTGATATTTATTTAAAAAAAAATTCAAAAATGTTTGTGCAAAATATTATGATTTCAAATGTTTATTTTTTATCCGAAATTTAGAAAACCTTAGAACATTTTTTCATGATTACATCACTTGTTTTTGAATGTAAAACAGATGTTTTTTCATTAGAAACAATTTGAATTTTAGGAATAGTATTCGGCATTCCTGATCCCATTTCGCTCAATCATTGTGTATTTTACAACCTTTTCTTGCTTTACTTTGTGGCATGAAAAATGCACAGCAGCAATATAAAATTTGCATTTAATGAGCTCCTCCTCTTTCGACTCATCCCCTTTTTACCCCCTCTCTCCTCCGCCCATTGTATGCAAATCTTTGTGGAATTCAATTTTGTTGAAGAGCTAATGATAATTTTCTTTTATGCTGTTTTTGATTGCCGAGCATGTGCGATGCAGAAAATTGTTTAAAAGATATGGAAATCTTAAAAGATTCAGCTGACAAAAAAGGAAAGTTTACTTCATTAACAATTTGTGTTTTAATTGATTTGGTTCAGTTGACTAAACACAAAATGAATAAAGTTCACAGATTTTTCGTTTTGAGATGATGACTGTATTTGTATTTAAACAAATACAATTGTATTTTAATATGATTTCAATTGACATATTTCTTATCTCCTCTAAAATAAGTTGTTCTGGAATTATTTGTTGTGGAATATTTACGAAACATTTAAATTTTTTGTGACTCAGTAATCATATAAATCTCACTTGAAGGCTTTTTTTTGTAAATACGGAATAACATTATTAAACGAATTACTTTTTTTAAAACTAGTCAAATCTTTATCAGTCATGGTCTGCTTTAAATTGGCCCTCATATTGACCTTTATTCACGTGTATGTGTTTATGTGATTATTTAGCTTTGACGAGGGCACCTTACCTATAAAAGTCGCCGAACGTTTTGATAAGACCAAGAATGATTCAGTTTACTAGACTATATAAATAACAGGCACAAACACATTTTCAAGTAAAAGAAACCTAGCCAGCCATTGCATTTTCTGGTAATTAGAAACTTGTCGGACAGTCAGTACCTAAAGAATTAAAAACAAAGAAAACGGGGAGAGGTTGGAAATTAGATGTACGGAGAGGATATGCAAAGTTGTCTAAGAATTTGCCTTGAAGTCTGAACAAAAATAATTTAACGGTCTGTTGGTTCTACAAAAAAAGATCTGTAGAAAAGAGAGGGTTGGTTTATATAATGAATAGAAAACTAACTGTGATTAGCATATTTGTAGTAGCAATAAGAACTGCTGGAAATACCACTTCAATGCACCCAATTTATTCCTCTTTTTTTATGATAGTAAAATATTTATTTAAGCTTAAGTGGGAAACGCAATTTGAGGTAGATCAGTTTGTGTCAGCCAACAGCTGTTTTCTGTCGCGACTTTTGTCTCTTTCCATTCTGTTGCAGCCCTCCTTGTCCTCTCCCTTCAGGCTGTGAAATGAGGTTAGCATGTTGTTTCAGTTTCACCTTTTAGTTCTTTGTCTTAGCGTGGGCGGCCGTCTAAAAGGTTTATTGCCATGTAAAATGCAACAACAGAAGAAATAATTGCAAATGCAAACGGCAACACCAGGCAAAGAAATCGAGGTTAGACGGGGTAATTGGCACGAATTTGTTGCCAAGTTGAAATATTGGAAGTTCTCTAGGGGTTTCAGAGGAATAAAGGGTTCAAAATAAAGTACCCACTTAAATGTATATTAGAATACATAAATGACGAGGGTCTGGGAATATCTACGCACTTCGGTATAAATAAATTATGAGTGTTCGCTGTTCAAATGATATATTGCTAAGGTTATTTGTAAAAAGTTCTGGATTTTTATGTATTCTAATTCTATTTTAAGTAGCTTACCCAAAGAATTATAGTTCCCAATTCCAAATTTCTCAAATATTTCCCGAAGAATCCCCACAAAACAATTTATAAGGCACCTATAACCCTATCCCAACTTTACCATGACTTGCTACCTTATATCGCCACAAATTTGAGCTATTTATGCTAAACAAGTCAATCTTTATGGCCCCACATAAATGCTTTATCTGGGAACTCATAAACTCGAATAGTTCCCGGGCTAGCGCGTGTGCATCCATTATATGATCCCCCATTA